GGACTTGTAGGATGCGCGGGACTTGCAGGCAACGCCGTCCCCCGGCTCGGCGTGATGGGCGTGCGCGGGCGCGGGGTCCTCTCGCGTTCTCGTTCGCGTTCCCTTTGTTGTTGTAGTTGTTGGTCCCGGGGCGTCTCCCCCTCGTACGCTTGGCTCCCAGAGCCAGAGCTAGACAGCGACGCCCGCCCGCCTAACGACGTGCGGGGAGACGTAGACACAGACGAGGCGGCTAGAACGCGCGCGAGCCGCGCCCTCAGCGCCTCGTGCTCTGGGTCCCGCTCGTACTCCCTACTAGGCGTATGCCGCCCCTCGAGCCGCGACAGGGTATGCGCCAGCGGCGAGGGGGAGCCGCCCTCGGCGTCGCCGCCGTACACCCGTCCTATAGGGGATGACGGGCGCGAGGTCGAGGCGGGTGAAGTATACGGGTACGAGTTCGCAGCGGCGGAGTGGGAGCGGAAGGGCGCGGGGGAAGGCGAGGAGGTGGACCCGCGGCGGAGGGCGGCGCGCAGGAGCTGTTCGGAGCGCGAGGAGCTGCTCGAGGACGAGCCGGGGGCGGGGGCGTGCGCGCGCTGCGGGGTGGGGGCGTGCAGCTGCAGGGGGGGCGCTGTTGGCGTTGGCGCTGCAGTCGACGAGGCGGTCGAGGAAGTCGACGTCGCCGCAGAGGACGAGGACGAGGACGCAGACGACGACGACGGGAAGAGCGCGGCGAGGAGCGCGGGGAGCGGCGCCAGCGGCATGCTCGTCCGCTTGCTCTTCCCGCTCTTCGCGCTCTTCGCGCTCCCGCTAACGCTGCTCGTGCTGCCCCGCGTGTGCGTGCTCTCGGAGGACAGGAGGCTCTGGTCGTCCCTTAGGCTCGCGCGGCTGGGGATGGGCGACAGCAGCCCGAGGCTCTGCGTGTGCCGGTGCCGCGCTCTTCTCCTCGTACGTTGTAGTTGTGCTACTCCTGTATGTAAGCACACGACGAAGGAAAGCGCAAAGGGGCGGGGGCGCACCGTCGGTCTGCATTTCTTGGTTCTTCTCTTCTCAGGGTAGGTCGGTGGTAGTCGATGTGGTAAGTGGTGGTAATTGGTAAGGGTGCAGGTGGATATACTGCAGCGGACGGACGGGCGCTTCAGGCGTGTCGCACACGAGGTGTTGTAGGGGGTGGACTCTAGACTGGTCGCCGGCGCGATCTGCTCGCTCTCCGTCGTGCCTCTCGTCTTCTAGTCCGCTGGTCCGCGCGTAGGATTGCTGACGAGTCGGTGGGGGCCTGCGAAAGGATTTTTCTGGGGTGTTTGGCTTTCCAATTTGTTTACCTGTCTCACACACCTCCCGCGTGGGGATAATTACTATACTGTGACCGGTATGTAACGCCGTAGTAACGCGCGACGGCGACCATCATGCATCACCGTCCGGCCGTCTCCGTTTCCCCGGTCCTGTCTCCTCGTGCAATGTGTATGTAGGTAATTAATAACTTGTAACGGCTCATATATGACGCGCTGGCGTTTCGCGACGTCCGCCTCGGATTTTCGCGCGGAGTTTCTCGCACTTTCGCCGTATTTACCGACACGACGCCGAACCTGACTAATTCGTAATTAATATACTCGTGGCTGTGCCCCTTCCCCTGCCTTCCCGTGCCTTCGAATCCTTCCCCGATATGGGCAATAAAAGTCTAGGCCAGGCCAAGCCGGGCACTCGGCGATCAAACGACAGCAGTCCGCGTCGCGCGGGAATTCCCGCGTTCCCGCATTCCCGTATTCTCACGCTGCCGCATTCAAAAAAAAAGACGCGTGATGACGCAGGGAAGACGCAGCGATGATTTCATGATGCGCGCAGTGGCGCACCAGTGCTTCAATTGCGATCCCCAACAAATTTAAACGGCGCGCTATACCCTATCCTATCCCCAACGACTTTCCTGCGCAGTTCCAGCAAGTTCCAGTTATTTTAACGGCCAACGCTGAATATGTATATCTCTCTGCTCCACAGCTGAGCGCTCCCGATATCGACTGTAACGTACGCAAGCAAGTAGCCATCCATCCCAGCCGAGGTGTAGATGCATGTCGAGCTGTGGGCGGATAACGGTAGGATAACGCGTACATCATGATGGCCAAACCGCGTTAAACCTTCTGCTAATGCGACAGGAACCCGCTGTACGTACGGCTGCTATCGTAATAATCCTCGATGCAAGTCACATCTCATCCGAAGATGTCGACGCGAGATATCGACGCAGATGTAGATGCACGTCAAGCTGTACTAGTAGACGGATAACCGGCGTCCAAACTCAACCCGACCCCGCGATATCTACCCTATCCTATCAGGCTATCCTATATCCTCAGGCTGCTCCTTACACAGCCATCCATCCATCCAACAAAACCTGTGCTAAGTAGATATCTATCTATCTATCGAACTCGTGCGCAGGTAGGTAGGTGTATAGGTGTATATGCTACCGTGATTGGCAAGGGATAGGATAGGTATCGATAGCATCTACGCTTGATCTACGCTTGATCTAAGCATCAGGAAGGACGAAAGCACCGACCCCGGGGTGCTAGGATCCTGACTACTACTTACTTTACTTGGAGCCTATAGGCTATAGGCTATAGGACCGAGGTTCCCGCTGATCTGCGCTGGCGGATCCTGGACACGAGGCGGGCTCAGGTTCAAGATTCAGATTCAACCAAGGCAAGCAGCTTGGACGAGTCCTCTCGCGAATCGCGCGCTTCCACTTGGCTTCTACACCGACCGAACCCTTCGCAGATCTACAACCCATCTACGCCCGCGCCCTGGCTTCTCCAGATCGACCCCCACGGCCACATCAACCTATCTGAACGCGCCATCAAAACCACCAAAGTAGCAAATACTCTGAGTAAGATTCAAGATTCAAGCAGCTTGGACGAGTCCTCTCGCGAATCGCGCGCCTCCACTTGGCTTCTACACCTCCCTTCGCAGATCCGAGTCTATCTACGTGGGCGCCCTGGCCTCTCGTCCAGATTTTCTCGTCCAGATTGACCCCCACGGCCGCATCAACCTATCTGAACGCGCCATCGAAATCACCAAAGTAACGACTATCGAACTCGTGCGCAGGTGTACATACTGCCCTGATTGGCAAGGGATAGGTATCTAAGCCTGATCTAAGCATCCTAGACTCCGAACCCACAGGGCGAAAGCACGATACGATACGTGCCCCCCCCCGAGCCTCCGGGGTGCTAGGAGCTTGACTACTGCTACTTACTCGTAACCTATAGGCTATAGGACCGAGGTTTTCGCTACGATCTGGGCACTGGCTGGCAGAGGTGAAGCGGATGCTCTACACGAAGCAGTCCAGGATTCAAGATTACAAGATTCCAAGATTCCAAGATTCAAGCAAGGGAAGGGAGGGCAAGACGAGTCCTCTCGCGAATTACGCGCCTCCACCGGCTCCCGAGCCCGAAACTTCGCAGATCTACAACCCATCTACATCCGCGCCCGCGCCCTGGTCTTCTCGTCCAGATTTTCTCGTCCTGGTTCAGCCCCACCTCAACCTGTCCGCGCCGTCCGCGAAATCACCAACTGCAAAGTAGCAAATACATACTCCAAGGTTCAAACTCCAAGCTCGAAATCGTATCCATTATTTACTACGCAGCGCTCGAGCGGCATACGCGTCTGTCTGCACCGGACGCTTCGACGATGCGTAAACTGACGCGAGATGTGCTTAACCTGACGCGAGATGCTTAAACCGACTCTTCGAAGATGCGTAAACTGCCGCTTCGAAGATACTCGAGCGGATCCGCGCTTCGCGAAGCGCCCGTCCGCCAAAATCTGCGGTTCGGACCGCCGGGATCGGCGCGAAGATGACGATCTGCGTGTCCTGCATATATTTCTTATTTCTTTATCCAAGTCAGTGGGAGGAGTCGCACGGTCCACGCCTCTCGCGAATTGCGCGCTGTGCCTTCCTCCCATATGACATCACCTAACATCTCTGACGCGTCCAGATATACAGTATGTGTGCAGATATATGTATTATTTCCACGACCGGCTCGCCCGCTCCCAGGCTGGTGTCGACTGCTGAACCTCACCCCGTGCAGTCGCGCTCCCCAGCGACTCGATTCACGCGCGGTTTTCCGAGGCACATCGAGCGCCCAAAAATAGATTTATTGCCTCACAAAATGCCGCCTCCGAGGAATCCTGAGATGCAACCAACCCGCGAACGCAACGGATACGAGTTATTCACAATATACAGCCGCGCTCGAGCCCTGGATATATATTACATATACATACATCCCTTGCGCGGCAGTGGCACGCGACTTGCCTCTCGCGAATATTGCGCCTCCACTCCTGGCATGCGGGGCTCGATAAGCGCCATCTGCATCCGCAGAGCACCGTGGCCCCTGCGCGATTTTCGCTACGCTCTCCACCGGGATGTCGAGCTCCCGAATGCCAACTCCAACGGCTCGGTGCCGGGATCCTCGAAGGCGTCGCCTGCCGCACACACATCTCCACCCCGCCTGGTCTTCACACCGCCTGCAACTCCCCGTGTGCCAGTGTGCCCCTCTCGCGGATTGCGCGCCTCCACTTTTAACATGTCTTATCTTGAGAGCTCCCATCTTATCTTGAACATAGAAGCGGCACCTAAATACATCACCGTGCGCGATTTTCGCGAATTCTCTCCACCAATTTTCGAGTGGCCGTTCAAGTCCACGCTTCCTGGGCACTCATCTCATCTCATCTCGGTTGGTCTCCTATGACGCTGCCCGCTCCTTTAATTAAACATGCATATGGCTCTCCGGTCGTGACCTCGAATGCTCAAAACATTATTTATCTTTCCGTTCACTTCCCCTAATGCATTTCACTTTTAGTTCCTCTCTGGGGCACCGACTTACATACATATCACATCGGCGGCGGAGCTGCAGTACGGCGCTTATGCGTAAACTACTAATAGTACAGCACTAAACCATGAGTGTCAAATTTAACCACGACTTGATTCCTCCGCCCGCTGAGCAATTCATTATGTCCATCTAATCCTGAAACCAGCCTTGCAAATTATTGGCCTGGTGGTGTAGTGGTAACATGCCTGCTTTACATGCAGATCATGTATGTTGGCAGCAGGAGATTCCTTGTTCGATTCAAGGCCAGGCCATTTGTGTTGTGTTCTATCTCCTTTTTATTGTTTCCTTCGTTCGGCTGAAACTCATCTTTGTATTCACTTTTGGGGGGTTGAAGAACAGCCTGGTGGTGTAATGGTAACACAGCTGCTCTATATAGTCGTATAGCTTGTCCTTCAGCGGCAATTCCTTGTTCGACTCAAGGCTAGGCCATCTCTTTTCTTTTCACATCTGTTTTTTATTTCGTTCTTCTTTCGCAGTGGTATTCGTCACTAGATTCCTAGCTGGGGAGGATGAGGAACAGGCTTGGTGCTGTAGCGGTAACACACCTGCTCTATTTTCCATGTGTTCACCTAGATTCAGCAGGAGATTCCTTGTTCGATCCAAGGCCAGGCCATCTATTAGGTTTATGCCGAAGCTTTTTTTTATAGCTTCGTCATCAAAACATCTAGGATGCATTAAGTATTGTGGAGGGTCAAGAAATGGCCTGGTGGTGTAATGGTAACACAGCTGCTCTATATAGTTAAACACTTTGTCTTTCAGCGGGAATCCCTTGTTCGAATCAAGGCTGGGCCATCTCTTTTCTTTTCATACCTTCTTTTTATTTTGTTCTTTCGCACTGGGATTCGTCACTAGATTGCTCACTGGGGTAGAAGGGAACAGGCCTTGTGGTGTAGTGGTAACACCCCTGCTTTCATTCCCGTAATATCCCGGCTGGTTCTTCAGGAGATTCAAGGCCAGGCCATTTATTAGGTTTATGCCCAAGCTTTTTTAGCTTCGTCATCAAAACATCTAGGATGCATTAAGTGGTGTGGAGAGTAGATGAATGGCCTGGTGGTGTGATGGTAACACAGCTGCTCTATATAATCATATATTTTGTCCTTCAGCGGCAATCCCTTGTTCGACTCAAGGCTAGGCCATCTCTTTTCACATCTGTTTTTTTTTATTTCGTTCTTCTTTCGCACTGGGATTCGTTACTAGATTTCTCGCTGGGGGAGAAGGGAACAGGTCTGGTGGTGTAATGGTAACACACCTGCTTTACTTGCATTTTGTTGAACGTTCAGCTGGAGGTTCCTTGTTCGACTCAAGGCCAGGCCATTGATGTTGATTTTTTAACTTTGTTACCGGAAAATCTAGAATGTATTTACTTTGGTACTGGGCAGAAGAAGCATGGCCTGGATGGTGTAGTTGTAACATACTTACACCTCGAAATTTGATCTTTCAGCAGGAGCTCCTTGTTTGACTCAAGGTCAGGTGATTTACTAGGTTTATGCTGAAACTTTTTGACTTCATCGCCAAAAAATCTGGAATGGATTTACTGTTGTCAAAGGAAGACAAATGGCCTGGTGGTGTAATGGTAACACAGCTGCTCTATATGATCGTAGAATTTGTCCACTTCAGCGGGAGTCCCTTGTTCGACTCAAGGCTAGGCCATCTCTTTTCTTTTCACATCTGTTTTTTATTTTGTTCTTCTTTCGCAGTGACGAATAGTTTCGCAGTGGTATTCGTCACTAGATTCCTAGCTGCGGAGGATGAGGAACAGGCTTGGTGGTGTAATGGTAACACACCTGCTTTCATTCCCATAGTACCCCGGCTGGTTCAGTGGGAGCTCCTTGTTCGATTCAAGGCCAGGTTATTCATATTAATCCAAGACTTTTTTGACTTCGGCGCCAAAAAGAAATTAGAATGCATTCATTGTTGTGGAGAGCCAGAGAACGGTCTGGTGGTGTAATGGTAACATACCTGCTTTTATTGTGTAGGCTTCCGCAGGAGATTCAAGGCTAGGCCATACTTGTATTTTTATTTCATTGCATTTTCCCACCCCCTCAACTCCAATCTCTCCTACTCAATCCTCCCCGAATTTACTACGGAAAGAAGCAGCGGACTCGAAATGAATTTCAACTTCCACTTCAGCTCAACTTCAGCTTCAACTCGGAAGAGCGGCACGTGCGCCCGGCAAACGCCGGTTTCACTTGCGTTCTGCTTCCACGACTCATTTTTTCTTCGCCGTCTGCGACGATGGTTCAAGATTCCAGATCTCTGCCCCTGCATTGAAGAATCCAGCGATGCGAGAGAACTCGCAAACGGATCCGCACCAACGCGCATTTGCATGCTGGCGCCTTGACCCGAGATCTACGGTTACCGCGGGGCCTGGCAGTGGAAACCCTTCGACTTTGCTCGGCCCAGGAACCCGCTCTACGTATCCTAGTATCCGTCAGGCATCTTGAAGATAGCGATGCACGTCAACCGGCGTATAAACCCGAGCCGACCCCGACCCCGCGATATCTATCTATGATATCGAGGCTCGTGAGCAGGTATACTCCCTTGATTGGCAAGCTGTACGCATCGATAGCATCTACTAAACTCGATCTAAGCATCAGGAGGGACGAAAACACGATTCCCCCCGACGCCGAGGTGCTAGGACCTTGCCTACTACTTACTAGTAGCCTATAGGCTATAGGACCGACATTCCCGCACCGATCTGGGCTGGATGCTCGACACGAGGCGGGCTACGTTCCAAGATTCCATCCAAGATTCAAGATTCCAAGACTCGAGCAAGGGAAGGCAAGACGACTTGAAGTCCTCTGGCGAATTACGCGCCTCCACGCTTCCACGGGTCCTCCCGTAGATCTATCTACAGTAAGTCCGCGCCCCGCCATGATTCTCTCCTGCTCGTGAATCTGTCCTTGATTCTCACCTGTTCGCCGTCCACACGAATTGGCACCAAAGTAGCAAATACATACTCCTAGTTCAAGCTCGAATTTCGATCGTATTCATCATTTACTACACATGTACAGCCCTCTCAAATCACACGCACCTGTCTGCAGCGGACGCTTCGAATTCGACGATGCGTAAACTGACGCGAGATGTGCTAAACTGACGCAAGATGCTTCAACTGACTCTTCGAAGATGCTTCAACTGACTCTTTCGAAGATGCTTCAACTGACGCAGATGCAAGACGACCCGCGGACGGATCCGCGCTTCGCGAAGCGCCCGTACGGCCACGATTCGTACCGCCGAGATCTGCGCACGCAAAGATTTTATTCCGAGCCGGAGGAAGTCGCACGGTCCACACCTCTCGCGAATTGCGCGCTGCGCATCCGCATCTCTTCCCTCTCATATGACATCACCTAATCTCACACCCATCCGCCGCGTCTCCAGATATATTAATTATTTCCAAGACCGGCTCGCCCGCTCGCACGCTGGCTGTCGACTGCTGAACCTCACCCCGTGCACAGTCGCGCTCCCCAGCGACTCCGCACTTTTCAGGGCTCAAGCGCCCAAAATAAATTTATATGCCGCCTCAACTACGCCTTCGAGGAATCCTGAACCGGTCCTCCCGCAGATCTACAACCCATCTACGCCCGCCTCGTCCTACTGTACATACTAGTAATTAACCCCTCAGCCTCTTCGCGACGTCCACACCAAACTCCAGGCTCCAAATACTGCCCAACACTCAAGTGCGGGCCTTTTCAAATCATACGCGCCTGTCTGTGGGACGCTTCGAATTCGACGATGCTTAAACTGACGCGAGATGTGCTTGAGCTGACGCAAGATGTTTAAACTGCAAGACGCACGAGCAGCCCGCGTCGCGAAGCGCCCGCCCGCGGTGCGGACCGCCGAGATCTACGCGCGCCATAGGCATTAATACGTTAATTGCAGCCACACGGTTCGGTGAGTTCAAATTCCTATTTATGCGCCTCTCGCGGATTGTGCGCCTCCACTCATGATCGGGCTGGCACTCGCGGGTTGTGCGCCTCCACCGCCTACCTACCCACACCACGCGGAATCGGGATCGTGGTGGGTATCTCAATCCCGGGACGGGCACCACGTTCTACAAGTTCCTCTTGCGCGATTTCCCACAGTGCGCGATTTTCGCTACGCTGCTCTCCACCTCTTTTCGAGCTTCGACGCCAACGGCTCGGTGTCGGCGCCGGCGCACCACCGACTCTCCGTCGAACGATTCATGATTCACGATTCACTATGCAAGAATGTTCATGCGCATTATGTACACCTAACAGTGTACCGAGGCTGAACTCAAAGAAAGCTGCATACGAATAATTTCGTGTCGCGCTGCCCTATTCTCTCAAACGATATCTTGCGCTCCCAAAGAGGTGCCGGTGCAACCCCCGGACGCTCAAGCTGTCCACCCCACTGCGCAGCACACGGATTGCCTCTCGCGAATTGCGCGCCTCCACTTTTGACATGTCCACATCTTATCTTGAGAGCTCCCATCTTAACTCGAGAAGCGGCACCTAAATACATCTCCGTGCGGGATTTTCGCCACACTTCACCAATATTCCGCGTGCGGCGCTGCGATACCGTTCAATTGCAAGTCCACGCTTCCGGTGCACTCATCTCATCCCATCTCGGTAGGTCGGTCTCCTATGCCGCTGCCCGCTCCTTCAATTAAACATGCCTCTCCGATCGTGACCTCCAATGCTCAAACATTATTTATCTTTCCGTCCAATTCCCATTCTTCTCTGTGCACCGACGTACATATCACATCGGCGGTGTAACTGCTAGCTGCAGTATGATGCTTATGAGTAAACTACATTACTAAATTATGAATGTCAAAATCCAACCACGTCTTGATCTCCTGCGAGTTGAAAGTCTGCCAGTGAGCAATTCAATGTGTTTGACCCATCTTGAAACCAGCTTTGCAAAATATCGGCCTGGTGGTGTAGTTGTAACACACCTGCTTTACTTTTAAAATCTGCAAAAAGTATCTTATGTAGGAGATTCCTTGTTCGACTCAAGGATAGGCCATATCGCTCTTTGATGTTTGCTCTTTTGTCGTTCGTTGGACTGAAACTCATCTCTGTATTAACAGGTGAAGAGGGAACAGCAACAGGCTTGGTGGTGTAGTGGTAACACACCTGCTTTGTGTAGTTGGGTTGAGCACTTTTCAGCAGGAGATTCAAGGCCAGGCCATTCATGTTAATTTTTTAACTTCGTTACCGAAAAATCTAGAATGTATTTAGTATGTGTGGTGGAGGGCCCTGGAATGGCCTGGTGGTGTAATGGTAACACGCTTGCTTTACATATTGATGTGAATATGGAGTTCAGCAGAGGATTCTTGTTCAACTCAAGGCCAGGTCATTTGGATTTATGCCGAGGCTTTTTTGACTTCAGCGCCAAAAAATCTAGAATCTATTTAGTGTTGTGAAGGGCAAAGCAAGAAGCAAAGAAATGGCCTCGTGGTGCAGCAGTAGCACACCTGCTCTACTTTGCATGGGCTCATTGAGATTCAGCAGGAGATTCCTTGTTCGACTCAAGGCTAGGTTATTTTCTTCTTTTTTTGACCTTCGTTCGGCTGAAACTCATCTCTGTAGTCACTTGTAGGTAGTTGAAAAAAGCAGCCTGGTGGTGTAATGGTAACACACCTGTTTCACATGGGTAAGGAGATATCGTTCTTGGCAGGAGATTCCTTGTTCGACTCAAGGCCAGGCCATTTGCATTTACTGTTTCCTTTTTGTGGTTTCCTTCATTGGGCTCAGCACTGTATTTGCCAGTGAACAGTGGGTACCAATAGGCTTGGTGGTGTAATGGTAACAAACCTGCCTTATGTAGATAGATATGAAAGTTCTCTCAGTAGGAGCTCCTTGTTCAATTCAAGGTCGAGCCGTCCCTTGTCTTTTCTTTTCATATCTGCTTTTTATTTCGTTCTTCTTCCGCAATGGGATTCGTCACTAGATTGCTCGCTGGGGGAAATATGGAACAGGCCTGGTGGGGTAGTGGTAACACCCCTGTTTTACTTACATGTTTACCAGAAAGTCCTCTGCAGGAGATTCCTTGTTCGATTCAAAGTTAGGCCATTACTTTTCTTTTCACATCTGTTTTATTTATTTCGTTCTTCTTTCGCAGTAGGATTCGTCGGTAGATTCCTAGCTGGGGAGGATGAGGAACAGGCTTGGTGGTGTAGTGGTAACACACCTGCTTTCATTCCCATAATACCCCGGCTGGTTCAGTAGGAGCTCCTTGTTCGATTCAAGGCCAAGCCCTCAGGCATTTTGTCAGTCTTTTTGGTCTCCCGTGCACAGATATTTGTTGTATTCTCAGCGGCGGAGTATGGAAATGGTCTGGCGGTAGAATGGTAGCACGCCTGATTTACTTGATTTCCTCGTGAGATTTTCGGCGCAAGGTTCCTTGTTCGATTCAAAGTCAGGCTATGGCAGCGTGGGTCTCGTTTTTGAGTTCATGCCAAAAGAAATTTAAATGTATTCAGTGTTGTGGACAGCCAAAGAGTGGTCTGGTGGTGTAATGGTAACATACCTGCTTTTATTAATTTGTTATGAAAGTTTCCACGGGAGATTCTTTGTTCGATTCAAGGCCAGCCCATACTATTTTGCCTTATATTTTTAATTTAATTTTTATTTCATTGCATTTTCCCACCCCACCTGCCAATCAATCCATCCCGTTTACTGCGGAACGACGCAGTGGGCTCGGACCGAAATTCAACTACAACTTCAGAAGAGGCACGTGCACCCGGCAAACGCCGGTTTCACTTGCGTCCTGCTTCCACGCCACGAGTCGGGCCACGACTCATTTTTTTCTTCGCCATCTGTGACGACGGTTCAATGGAGGATTCCAACTTCATTCCCACTGTTGCAGTGGTGATCTGCGTTGGCCAACTTGGCAAGCTGCAGCCTTAGTTGTCGTCCAGACTCCAGATATCGGGCCCTGCATCGAGGAACCCAGCGATGCAAGGGAACTCGCAAACGGATCCGCGCGAATCCACATCTGCATGCTGGCGCCTGGACTCGAGACCTACGGTTACCGCGGGGCTTAGCAGTGAAAACCCTTCGACTTTGCTCGGCCCAGGAACCCGCTCTACGGATCGTAGTATCCATCAACCCATCTCGAAGATAGCGGTGCACGTCAACCCGCCTGAACGCACCGGCGTACAAACCCGACCCGCGATATCTATCCTGTAGTATGCCTATCGTGTCTTAGCAAGGGATAGCCTGACATCTCAGCAGGCCCCGGATACGTATCGACCGGTATCATAGTCGACACCGAGGTTTTGAAGATCATGGTACAAGCCGGTAGAATCGCAGGATACGATTCAGGCAAGTGCAAGGCGAGGCAAGTTTTGTCCCTCCGGCGGATAGTATTGCATGTCTCCATCTGGATCTCAGCGCCCTTGCTTCTCTGCCATCTCTTGCTGCACCTGAACCCTCGCACCTCGCACCGGTTCCCGAAGATCTCGCCCTCCTGCGCGCCTTTCGCTGTCTGGCTCAAGTCTGGCGTTTCTTTTCCGAGTTCTGTTCTCCACTCACCCGTTCTCGACCTCCAAAATTAACCATTCTCGAGCTCTAAATCAATATGTATTATACTATACCCTAGCAAGAGCGAATGAACTCCTCCGACTTCGACGAACCCTCGATACACTCAAGTAGGCCTGCAGACGGATCCGCGCGAAGCGCTCGACCGCCGTTCGTACCGCCGAGATCTGCGTTCAAATAAAACCGTGCGGCCCCTCTCGCGATTAATGCGCGCCTCCACTGGTGCTCGTATTCGGATTCCTCCCCCGGTACTGATATCCGGCCCGTGCAGGCGTCTTTTAATCAATCTGCCGTGACCTGCACGGCTTTTCCGGTGTCCTATTCTCTCCACTCTGTATCTCGCGCTCCCAAATCCAAATCCAAATCTCGGGGCCGATTCAACCCGAGACGTTGTTCACTCGCGGGTCTTAGATGAAGATTGCGCACCTCTCGCGAATCGCACGCCTCCACGTGCATATGTAGCGTTTACGTTCTTGATTCTCGTACCCTCCTCAGGTCTAAGTGAAGAATGAAGACACAGACGTGCGCGATTCTCACTCAGACCCCGAGTCGGAATTGAACCAACTAATATTACCGTTCTGGACAAATTCATACGCGCAATACACCCGAAATCTCAAAGATACTTCTAATGCAAGCGAATGGCATGCGTCGGATGCCAGTGAACATGTATCCAATTCCAGTGGACAGGCAGCCAGATCCGCGCGAACCCTGCGGGCGATTCCGTTCCGAGCTCAGGTTTTGCGCAGATGCGACAGGACAGATCCGCGGCAACTACGCGTCGATAGGAGCCACGCCCGCACGGTAACGGTTCAATTTCCGAGCGCCTCGCCTCTTGCGGATTGCGCGCCTCCATCCACGCTGGGGCTCGATAAGCGGTATAGTCATAGATGTATGGTGCGTATCTGGATTCGCAAGGCGACAGCTGAATCCGTCATGGTGGCCCTGCGCGATTTTTGCTGCGCTCTTCCCAACGGGATCTCGAACTCCCGAATCCGAAATCTCGTACACAGCTCGGTGCCGGGTACCTATCGGAAAGGGCCCTGCCCTCGTACTGCGGTTCTGCGGGGACTTGAGGAACCCGTCGAGGGCCCTGTTGAACCCCGACTTCCACGCGGCTCGGCTCGACTACCGGCGTCGTATGCCGCACACGCGCACCACTGCGTAGCACTGGTCTTCACTCCAACATCGCCTGTGCGCCTCTCACGGATATCGCGCCTTCACTGACATATATAAATAGTGCGTAAGTATCTCACTCTAATTTCTCGCACGTCAAATTTGGTATCTCAAGCGGCCTTCTGTTATACCAGCTGCGCGATTTCCGCTATTCTCCACTCTCACCTGGTATCTGCAGCGCCCCCCTCGCGATAAATTGTATTCCCACTCCAACATCTTGTCCTTGAACGTGAATGACGCTCAGCCCCCACTCCCCTCCAAGCTCACCGTATACAATGTATCTCTCCTGCACCTAGCTGTGGTATCTATGAATTGAATTCAATGTTATCAAGCTTGCATGCGTTCCGTTCGTTCCATCCCCACCGTTCCGCACGTTGCATATCTCGCCGTCACTCGCGTCCTAAATCCTACTAGTACTAAACATATCTACTCTCCCCATTTCACGAGTCACGTTGCGCCGACCTCCGCGACAGTTGCTTGTCCATATCGACTTGCTGAATCGAATCGAATCGGCCACTGCTTCAATACGACCTACTCAATAAATAAAACTAAGAGCCAATATGCATACATACTGGTCCCGACCGTCTGTCCCCTGATCAGATTTAGATTTAGGGCAGTCTAAGCATTCAGCCAATCCCAGAACGAGTTTTGAAGAGCACTGGCCTGGTGGTGTAGAGGTAACACACCTGCTTGATATATGTTTGGACTGTAAATGGTTAGCAGTATTCTCTTGTTGAACTCAAGGTCGGGCAGCCTATATACAACGAGTTTTCGCTTTTTTATTTCATTTGCCCTTCCACATTCAAATCTTCTTACGCCATTTTTACACTCACCTCCAGAATTTACCGAGCAGAGACACATTGGAATGGAACCTGAATTTCAACTTCAATTATTGTTCGGAAGAACTTGAACTTGTGAAGAACGGCACGTGCACCGCCAATCCCCGACCTCTTTGCGTTCTGCTTCCAGCCTTCCACCACCCTTTTGTTCTTCGCTGTCTGTGACAACAGTTCAACGAGAGCTCAAACTTCCTTTTCTCGCCAATGCCACTACGTTGATAAACTACAGCCTTGCTCGGATGCGCGACTCGGAAGGTCTGAAGAAACATTCCCCGGGCCCTGGCGAGCTCTCGACTTTGAGTTTAACTTTGGCCTCGAGACTCGAGCCTCGAATGATTCGCAGCGCATACGCTGCGCCTTCCACCGTCTTTGATATTTCACTTTGCTCCTCTGCTCTGACCCGGCTCCCCCCATTCCTCGCCTCCACCCGAATCCCCGTCGCCGGGCCCTGCGTAATCGTGAGTGTGCTCGCCGCTGATCTGGGTGGACGCATCAGTAGATCTAGATTCTCTGCTTCTTTCTCTGGGCCGGGCGCAACTTCGATGCCCCTGCAGCTGCAAGTTAAGTTAGTTACCGCGCAGCCCGCAAACAGATCCGATCCGCGCGAACGTGCTCCGGAGCCCTGCGACCTCGACACACTTCGATCCACACCGCAAAATTTTAGGGCTGTTCCTGGGGAGTACACGATCCAAGTGCTTCCGTGTCCCTGGTGAATTCGACTTCAAGTTGCGCCGCGAAACCGCCATCCCTCAAGCCTCCGCGAAACCCCCACCCTCAACCCCGGCGAGACCTCCATCCTCAAACCTCCGCGAAGCTTCACGAAACCCTACCCTCAACCTCCGCGACATCCCCCTTCCTCAAACCTTCGCGAAACCCTCACCCTCAAACCCCTGGCGAATTTCGCGCGTGTTGGGTTCTTCCCTGGTTCTCTGGCGCATCTAGAATGCCTTTTCTTGCCTATGGAGTCTCGCATGGAGCGTCCGCAGCTACGGATTGCACGGTTTTCGCGGGGCTCGCTTGCTGCCTGGTTACGTTCTGAACCTGAAGCTCCAAATACTCCAACTTCTTAGCCTCAAACTACCTGCGCCCCCTCCAATCGGAGCTGCACTAAATCTAACTCTTATACCGGTAACTTCGAGGGACTCGCAAACAGATCTGCACAAACGCCGAGAGCTACGCTTTCCGTGGGCCTAGCTGAGGTTGACTTCTCAACCTCATTTGTTCGCGAAGCTTCAAAGCCTCACCTGAACCTCAGACTTGAACTGGGCCGACTCAAATTAATTTCTTTTTCCCGAGCCCGCTAAATTAGGCTCAAGCGGGAACTCTAAATCCCATGCATCTCAACTTCGACGAACCCGCAGAAGCAATGAACCCCCATACGGATCCACGCGAACACAGTCGGCGTAAGAGCCCGCAATTCCTATCGAATCGGTATCAAGCTCCGGAGATCTATGGTTGCCGCGGGGCCTGGCTGTTGAGCTCTTACCTTCATCTGCTCGCTGAGCTTTACATGTAAGTCTCTCAGCCTAACCTCAAGATCCAAGTGCCTTCACCTGCCCCGACTCAAATTAAATACTGCTTCGAAGCTACATACGCTATCGTGCTAACTGCGAAACCTCTCGGTGGGGTGTGTACATCCCTCATTCAAATCCGCCTGCGCAATTAGCCAGCGTCAGAGGCCCTCGTCCAATACGCAAACGCTTAGCCCACGAATAGAGCTAGCATCGAGGAATTCTTGATACCTAAGTCAAATTAGCCCTGGGGTAAACCTAGCAGAAACACAGGCGCGTACCATCCCGCGCAGCGCAGCGCATGCTCATGACTCCCGCCACAGTAAAACACGATAAGGTCTGCATCGGCAAACTGCGAGTGGAAGGCCGCTAGCTGGGTGTGAAATGTTTGAGCAGGGCGCTTTTGGCTCCCTTCGATGTGCCCGCCCTTTAGTATGTGCGCGATAAGTGAAAAGGACCGAGCGGGAAAGATGGAGGGACGCACGGCGTGATCATCGCTACGCACATCTATTACCGCGATGTTAGAGGCATTGTGCAGCCTCTCGGCGAGCTCGGTGGGGGCGATTCGCACTATATCCGTAGCGCGCATGGCAGGGAAAGCGTCCCACCACCGTTCCAGGGGCGTGTCGCAGATATCCATCCCCGCTTGAGGCGGCTTGCGCGCGTAGATCTGGTATGATGCTTATACAGCTCAAGTTTATGAACAATGCAAATTGGCAGAATTGGACATACCAGCCCATTGGTTGAGATCCAGATCTCCTGTATCTGCGGCGGATGTTGCGGGGGTTATCGAAGCCGCATTGCAGCAAGACAGAGTTTTGGACTCCAGCGCCGCCGCCGTTAGGTATATGTTGAGGTCCGCACGACTATCGACGAAAAGGGAGGCTGAAGATGGTTAGATCGGATTTTGTTGGAGTTCACAAGAAATTGAAGAGGGATGTGTACCATTGAACCCCGCCATTTTCAGAAGACCATCGTATTCAGGAACAGAGATCGCTCCGCCGATGCAGCTCACATATTGCTTCATGTCGTCCCGGATATGGGCAGGGATTAGGTCTTTCGCGAGGATCTGCCGCATTTCAGCTGGGGATCGGAGAGAGATCCACGTTGAGAGCACGCACATCATCGAGAACGAGGCGACCACCGGGCTTTAACACTCGGTAGATCTCGTTGAATATGTGGGTCTTGCCGGACTGCGGAAGCAGGTTTATCACACAATTCGATAGGACACAGTCGATGGAGTTCGACTTGATTGGGAGAGTGTCAGTAAGAGAGCACTCGATGAAGCAGACGTTGGGAGGGGAGTAGCCGCGCTTCATTGCATTATTTCGTGCTCTCTGAATCATGTCCTGCGGAGGCGTTCAGGGTGGACCAAGCCGCTCACCGTGAGGAGACTCACAGGGGACATATCGAGCCCAATCGCCATACCACTCGTTCCAATCTTGGAGGCAGCAAGGAATATATCGATTCCGCCACCGGATCCGAGATCCAGGACGGTTTCTCCCTAGGGACGTCAGTGTGAGACATCGAGCGCTGAAAATGGTTGGGCGGCGTACGGGTTTCAATGTCGCGGTGACGGTAGGATTCCCGCATCCAAGCCCCATGTGGGACTCGAAAGGAATAGATTCAAGCTGCTCAACGGTGTATCCAAATGCTTGTGCTACTGTAGCGGCGTCTGGTGGAACGGATTAACGGCTCAGCGAAAACACACCAGAGCCTCGAGGAAGGATTACTAACACTGTGGGGTAGCTCCCGTCAACGCAAGTGCCGAGTAGGCATTCTTGACAGTACTGAGGAGGAAAGTGTCGTCGTACTTGGTAGCCATTGACCAGGGACGATTATTTAGAGCGGCGGCGAGCGGCGGTCCAATGATGGATGCTCGATTTCCGAAATCAATACTTGATTTTGAATATCAATCCACGGACACGTGTTTGGTTGAATGCCTCGTTCGGGGAAATCTCAGGCTCTGCACCTGCCACACCAGATAAAGCAAAATATTGACCTAGGTCAATATGTTAACTGAAACTAGATAAATTGGTAGCCAAATCAGACTTGATAGAAAGCTGTTCTTTTATTTTGATACAAATTTGACACGGAATTAGCGTCAATCAGCCGCTCTTTCACAAGCCACGGCTTTGTTCTCTTTCCGTGAGTGAAGAAAGCCATGCCCAAAGAAATTCATTCAGTGATGCTTTCAGGTATATTGAAAGAAGGACTCTCGTCATAACAATCCAAATTCTCTTTGTTAGAACAAAGGAAATTTTGATTGTTACACCAAAAGTCCTTCTTTCTTCTGCCTGGAAACGGGCTACTGAAAGTTTGTCTTTCAGCAATCCTTTCTCAACTCACAGATAGTGAACAAAGACATAGCTTGTGAAAGAGTGGCCCATTGAGGCTAATTCTGTGTCAAATTTGTATCAAAAGAAAAGAACAGCTTTCTATATATCAAGTTTGATTTGGCTACCAATTTATCTAGTTTCAGTTAACATATTGACCTAGGTCAATATTTCGCTTTATCCGGTGTGTGCGCTCGCCTTCTACTACACTTCATGCGACTCAAGTTTTGCACTGGTTGACCTTCGCAGGTTTACACCGTGCCAGTGGGCCACACGCGCGCCGATAGCTTAACGTGGGACACCATCAATGGAGAGACATCTTCACCTCCAAGCAAGAACCAACCAGGCATCGCAGATCCAAGACCTTCTTACCAGCCCCGACGTCCAATTGAAATAGCTAGGGTGAAATCATCGACTTACAGAAAGCGCTCGACATACTGCTAGACGAACGCGCTTGGAACGCGCTAGATTCATGGCGGCCACGAGGCACTCATTTCGCGGTTTAATGCTTGTCGCTCGACATATTTCTGTCGCCTGCTTGTCAGACTACCACACGGTAAGTAATTACGGATGGCGTTGTTTCCCAGGGTTAATTTTCACTGTCTTCCTCAGTTTTTCTCGCAATGCAGCAGCTACTAATACTGCTATCACAGGACTCTCCATTCACTGAGAGAGTGATTTCCCCACGATTTGTAAGTATCTTGTGGATGTTTCGACCTCATTGACGACGTGCGCGGTGTCCGTCGGCGCGGGGAATTGATGATCATTTTTGATTTGATTTTGTTCGGTATTCGGAACAGCTGCACTGCTTCACTCAGAGTCACCATGTCACCTCCCTTCACTTCAAAGCTGGGGACGAACTATTGTCCCCGCGACGAGGAGATAGCTGAAATAAAAGCTCTCCTCATCGAACCCACCCTTCGATTGGCGGATCTTGACCATAGAATCGCCGACTTGCAGAAGGCCCTCGACAAACTGGTGGACGAACACGCCAGAATCAGTGCCTACGTGGACGGCTACAAGGCGCTCATTCCCCAGTGCGACGCCTGCCGATCGACATAATCCGA